CCCCAAAACCCCAAAACCCCAAAACCCCAAAACCCCAAAACCCCTTTATGCAATATTTGGTTCAAGCAAAGTGAAATAATTTAATACTTAGTTTGATGAAAATATTGAGTAGTCAGAATATTAATATCTGTTTAGGTAGCATAATAAATTAATTAAATTAGGAAAATGAGCGTAAAAGAAAATTCTTTCCCAGCAAACCTTCGAAATAAGGACCTTTTTTCGACACTAGAAAATGAGTATTCTTCCAATTTCAAAGATGCAAACCATCTTGAAGACTTGGAAAAGCTATAAATTCTCTAAGAAAACTAGATTGTTCATGAGAGTATTGATGACATGGACCATTTCAACAATGATATGATATCTCCTAGATAAATTCATTTTAATCACTCAACAAACTTACCCAAGCAAAATGAGCATAATTAAATAATTCAGTATGGATTTTAGGATTTCGGACAGCTAGACAGTTTCATAAACCAAGCGAACTTTACCAATAAGGATGAGGTTTTCTAAGATTTCAATAATTTTGATAGCATTTAAACGAATATTAACTCTAACTAATTCTCTGGCTTGCAATACCTTAATGATAACAATTATCAAAACAACCAATCTTATTCAAATGCTAATAATTTGGCGCCACAAAATTACTAGAACAATTTGATTTATCATTACTAAATCAACTCATCTGAAAATAATGATATAAGAACAATTGGCAGTCCATAGTAAGAGTGCCAAGAGGAAGGCAATAATGACTCAACAGAATTTTCATCCTAAAAGTATGAGTGCAACTCTGTGACTGGAGCAGAGACAAGACAAGGAGACGAAAATGCCTCTATAATAAACGGAAATTCTGCAGGAGATTCGTAATAAGATTGCAGCAGTGACGAGGTTTAATCAACTAGATCTTTGTCAGACGATAACAGGCTAGAGATGCAATTCCAAAAGAGTAAACGCAAAACTAACTCAAAATAAAATTTATACACCCTAGATGACTTGGAAAAAGAGATTGAACACGTTGTGAATCAGGATGAAAAAGTAATGGATATGCAGGTTGAATTACAATAGCTTAAAAAGCTGAATCTAAACAAGAAAGACCTTCAAATTTAGAGAAATAGAATTACAGCTTAACTTAGTAGAGATAGGAAAAAGTTAGAGAATGATTACTTGAAAGATGAACTAGTGCATATGAAGAATATCGTTCAAAAACTTCAACTTTAAATCAAGGAAAATAGTAATTTTTGCAGAAACTGTAGTGACTAATTGATTGACCATTTCGACTTCCCAATTAAATTGAAAAAATCAAATTAATCAATCTCTAACAGCATTAATTCAACTCCAATCTCAACAAATATTGGCAAAAGAAAGCGTGAAGGAAAATCCGAAGAAAAGCAAACAAAGGGTTTTACTGGATTAAATAAAAGAGCTGCTCTTTCACTCGGATTTATAGCTCTTGTAGCAACAATCTGCGTACTAAACATCCAAGATAATACAATCATGATGAGTAATATTTAACTACAGGAAATATCGATTGATCAACACATTGATTAACACGTGTTATAGTCAAGATAAAATGAACTTATGAATAATATTTCCAAAAACCCACTTGTTCCAATTAAATCTAATAGGCAGGATAATCCACTAATACCCATAGATGAAAAATATCCAATTATTGATTATGATCAAGATCTGTTGCAGATTGATGACTTAAATGATTAATAATTGAGAAAATAACTCTCTGATCTTTATTCAATTGAGTACTTTAGAGATAATTATATCAATAGACATGCAACTAAACTCTATAATTAGGACAAACAACTAAGAAGAACTATGACGAAAGAGTAAATTTTATCAAACATCTCTGAGGCCTTACTTTTCAAGCCAATCAAAATCAATTCAAAATCAAAAGCCATACCAAGTTATTATAGTCAACTTAATTCAGCAGATTCAACTTAAATAATATTGAGCAAAGACCTTGAATAGATAGAGGAAAGTGAAAGGATCCACTATGACTTCCCTAACTGGTTAGAGAAAGCGACAGTAGAGCCCAAAGATAAGAAGATTTCAGAGAAATTTTTAAACTTTAACAATAATGTATAGATTTACTCAGTCAAAGACCTTGCATAAAGTTATCTAAATGAGCAAACGACTTCTGTATATTGCCCAACTTCAACAGCCATACTAGCAAATTCTGATGAAAATAGTTGGAGATAGCCTATCCTTAAGTAAGTTAGATCTTTATAATTTTATTCTTGAAATAGAATGAATCAAGGAAAGGGAGATGGATTTAGAAGGAACCCATTAGTAAATGGAGATAGACTTCAACTAGTTTTGACAAGCGATTAGATTGATATAATCAATCCATAAGGTGAAAGTATTTTAGAGCCTTCAAGCATTAACTCAAAGCCTATGTTTATTGAGTTGACTTGCAAAATTCAAGAAGTTAATTACATTTTTGACAGCTACTCAAAGCAGGCATCATAGTGAGCTAGGGATAATTTTCTCGCTATTAATATAAATAAGGATTAGTTTAGACTAGATTTAGGAAAGATAAAAATCTTAGCTAGCTAGTAATTCAATAATTAATATATGAGATTAGAGACTTTTTATCTCTATGTTTTATATACTTTATTGATTTTCATTTAATTTAAACTTTCTAATTCCTGCTTTTTTAATTATCCATATATCAATGGGGTT